AAAACCCAAAATTTTCTATTTAATAGTATAAATCATCATACATAGTTTTAAAAAAAATACTCATCTAAAGCATATCACATGTTGTCAAAGTTAATTCTTCACTAGGCAATAAATGAATACCTAAAGAGTACGTACATATCACAATTCACATGTCATGTAAAGTCAATTTATGAGTTCTAATCATCTATTAATGGAAGGGTCATAATTATTACTCAAGAAATAAAATCTTGAACGATGATACAAAGTAGCTGATGTGTCATCTTGCATGAGTTTCTTTTTAAAGATATTTTTTTTATATATAGAAATAAGATATTTGCATAAGGTGGTCATGTTGGGATATATAATTTAAATAGTTCCATATAACATGGGATAATTTAGTCTTTCATGGCTATGTCTCTTGAACACCCCAATTCATTATTAGACTACATGTGCATATCGATAGCATATATAGTTATTATATTACATTTCATTCATTCTCATTTGACTTGATGGATTGCATTATCCGTCTTTATATATTTAATTTATGGTGACCTTATTTGTTAATACATGAGTAATTTTGCCTTTTTTATGCTAATTGATTATTGTAAATGGTATACCTGTCGAATCTCTTCACTATTTTGATGATGTTATAATTACTAGGACACATTATTTTTGTATGTTTATACACTTGTTTCACTCTTTTTTGGTGCAGGTTCTCACCTGTATGCGCTAGTGGAGTTTGAAATCCGGGCTGGTTGTTTGGCTAATTTGCAATATTAGACTTCTCTTTATCATTTTTTAGGTCTTCATTATTCTAGATAGTTGTATGGAGTATATTTCAAATTTGTATAGTGTTAGAGGCTTTTGTATTTGCGAATTGCGACCCCAAGTTATGGGAATATAGTTCCTTTATTTCCACGCTTTTATGGTTATCAAACTTTATTTATGACTTTCATGTCTTTTACACGTTTAAATTTCACTTAATTGTTAATAATAGATTAAAAGAGAATTAGGTTCACTTACTAGTTTAGGTATGGAAAAACTACAAGAATATACTATTTAAGACCTTAATTTACCTAATATTATTTTAGTCTTTTTATTTACAACATTAACAATTTAATTACAAATATGACATTTTATTATAAATTAAAAATCTACACGATTTTATGTCCTATTTTATTGGTTAGTGGACTAAATTTTTGGGAGTCATATTTTATCTTTTATTTTAATTAATTTTTAGAATCTCAATCACAATTATATTTGGATACATTTTTTTTAATAAATATCTTACTTTCTCTTTCCTGTTAACCTTACACAGAAGAAATACCATTGATGCACTCTTTTTTTCCTTGGTAAACGCATTGCTGCACACTTTTTTTCCATCTTTTTCAAAAAAGTTTTGAAACTCCTTGAAAATATTTCTCTTTATTTCCTTTCAATCATCTCTTACAACACAATTTTTTCTTACTTCTTGAATTAATCGATTATGAGTAAGAAAGTTGCTTTTAGTAATGCTCCCGGAAAGAGTCCTCGTTTGATGAAGGCTTAAATCGATGTCAATAGCCCGATTGTTTGTTCAAAATCAAAAATTACAACTGTTAATTTGAAGAAGATTCGCATTATCATAGTGAATATGATTTGTATCATGTGGTCCATAAATTATCGGAAAACAAATTAAACACATTTTTTTTGTGTACACTTTGATGGCCAATTTGGTACAATTATTGATGATATGTTATTTTAAATAGTGATATGTATTAAGGAATATATTTTGGTAGCTGATCCGGTATAATAATTGGTGATTTGTTGATTATTAACCGTAATATAATTTTGTGTATATATTTTGATGGATGGTATAGTTAAAATATTGGTAATTTGTTGGTTATTAACCGTAATATGTTTTAGTGTATATATTTTGATGGATGGGTATAGTTAAATTATTGGTAATTTGTTGATTTCAATTTGATGGATGGTGGTCGATTTGGTATAATTATTGATGATATGTTATTTTAAATAGTGATATGTATTAAGGAATGTACTTTGGTAGCTGATGTGGTACAATAATTGATGATTTAACCGTAATATGTTTTAGTGTATATATTTTGATGGATGGTATAGTTAAAATATTGATAATTTGTTGATTTCAATTTGATGGATGGTGTGACTAATTTTTTTGGCGATATATCGATTTAGAACAATAAAAGAAATTGATTTATAATTGATGGTAAGGTTGATTTTAGTTATGTGTTTCAACCCTACAATACATAACACCATAATCTAATCAAGTATATACCAACTTTTTAGAATCATCAAATTAATTTACATGGTGTACAATGTGGTGTAACCTTTGTGTCAAGTTCAAATTTTTAATAACTATAACAACTAAAAATAATTGGTGGATTTGTTGGTTAAAAAATAATGGTAATTTGTTGATTTAAAGTTGCAATATGTTATAGTAAATATACTTTGATGTATGGTATGACTAATTTTTTGGTGATATGTTGGTTTAGAATTATAAAAGATATTGATTTATAATTGATGGTAAAGTTGATTTTAGTTATGTTACAAGTTACAACCCTATAATACGTAATACCATAATCTAATCAAGTATGTACCAATTTTTTAGTATCATTAAATTAATTTACATGGTGTACAATATGATTTAACTTTGGTGTCAAGTTCAAATAAATCTAGTTCAATTTTACCATAATGAATGAATTATATCAAATTATAACCAAATAAATTAAACTAAATAAATCCATACAGTGATGATAAATTTATTATTGGTTATATGTTCCAACTACATTGGTGTAAAAAAGGATTTAAACAAAAAATTGAAGGGCGAGAACTAAAGAAAAACAAAGAAATTTTTCAGAAAATAAAATGAGGTAAAAAGAAAAAAAAGGGAGAAAGAGACGAGTGAAGAGAGAGTTTAGAAAAAAAAGGGTGGAGAGAAAAAGAGAATCAGTTTGCTTAGTATTTTAAGAAGAAGGTTAAAAAAGTGGAGAAAAATAAGGAAATAAAAATATTGAGGGATTAATCATTGAGAGATTTGTGGAAGAGAAATCAAAATAAGAGAAAAATAAGGAATGAAATCTTATTTAATATAGGAATGTGTATTGTTGTATTATTTATACCGATTTATTTATTTATTTATTTATTATTTATTTTGTTTTTGTAAAAAAACTATTGCTATGTAGGTGAAAAGTTAAATTATTGCTATATAAGGTATTAAATGTCCTTACGATTTGTAGATTCTGAATCGTGACATGATATAGTAATTAACTTGATATGACATATTTAAACTATGTTTATAATATAAAACTTATCTCTAGCTACACGTACGTATCTGTTACAATTAAATTTAATTTTTACAGCCAAATAAATGTTGAAGATAAAAGAAGTAAAGATAGTTAATTTTCGCTGCAATTACAAAAAGAATATCATGGTAATTTTCATTTTAAAAAGTAGCATATGTTATGTTCAGATAATTCTTCAATCTCAATAAGCAAATGCCTAAATAGATATTGAATTGTGCAGTTTAGATCATACATCACATGTTATGTAGCATATCCCTATCGCCTTCTAATGGAAGGAAATAATCAATGATGTGAAATTTTTTAATGACAATATGGAGAGGTTGAAATTCCATTTTTCCTTTAAAAGTACAAGTAGATATTTTTTGTGGTTGTATACTATGAGTTTCTTCTAAAATTATTATTTTTATGATAAAAAAAAAAGTTATTTGTGTATTAATACCGCATAGAGTGGTCCTTATAAAGGGATAAGCAATTCATAATGTCATTGCCAAAAAACATCAATATCTAATGTAGTAGCATACATAGGATGACCCTTTTTTGAAGAATTGCGATGGGATATGCATGTACTAAACGATTTAACAATAAGGAATTGTTACCCTTTTTTTTTTTACAACAAAGTAACCCACAATTGCTATCATTGAGTGTTACGCGTAAACATCGCTTCTTCGATCGATGAAGTAAACCCTTCTCGCATGCAAGAGTTTGAACTTGAGAGTTCTATTATGAAAGTCCCAAGCTAAACCATATAAGCTACCCCAAAATAAAGTAAACATACATTATATAAAATTTAATAAAGCATCATGTTTATGTATTTTGCCTTGATATAATTTTATACATACATTATCAAAATTTGTACTTTATTAAATTTTATACAATGTATGTTTACTTTATTTTAATCATAATATACATAGTCTATAAACAAAAATTCCCTTCTTTTTTTTTCCAGAAACTTAACTTATACATAAATTATATAGTTATATACATATTTCATACCATATTTAAACATGAAATCGTAAGCAACATTCGAAGGATGGTTTGCATATGCTGTAGGGGGGAAACCCATAACTATGTTTGGTAAACAGAAAACTCTGCTATGTTTGATAATTATGGATCTTATTTTAGTGTATATATATATATAAGAATTTTCTCAGTAAATTAATCGATAACTCGACGTTGTAGGTATTATTATTACTAGTATATATTATGTGAAACTAGATATTACATTTTTCATCATTCTTTTTAAATTAATCACACATTGAAGCTTATATTCAGTATATATAATATAAATCATCAATCATCATACATAACTTTTTTTGAAATTTCATCTAAAGCATATCACATGCAGAGGTAATTCTTCTTTTCACAATAAATGAATGCCTAAAGAGGATATATCACATGTCATGCAAAGTCAGTATGAGTCATAATCAACTGTTAATTGAATATCTGTCACCTTTCACCATTATCAGCACACCTCGATTAACACCTCAAATTTACTACTGTTCTTTTTGGATGTATCACACCTTTTTAAGCATAATAAACAAATAATTAAGCAGTGAATTTAAGTGAAGGAAATTTGGTTATAAATAAAGGTGAATTCATTCCAGCTCATTCACCTCTACTTCTATACTCATAATATAAGCATTATCCATTTTTCCCTCTAAAACCTCCTTTAAGAAGAACAACATGTCATTCAAGAGGATCATGACATTAACATTTCTCTTGGCCTTGCTAGCAATATTGTGTAGTACAAGTGTTCTAGGCGCCGAAGATGATCTATACATCAATATCACTATACTCCAAAGCGCAACTGCCCAAGGCGCAGGTGATGGTTAGCTAGCTATACATAAATATATTCATAATTCCTCAAAGAAATTCGCATTCACTTGTTTTGTTTATGAGTTGGTCAAGGGACATAACTGTGTATGTTGAAGATTGGTCAGTTGAAGACCTTTAGTCATAAAATGATGCAATGTATACATATATAAGTCAAATGTTGCTTGAAAGTATCTTTGAAAACTCTTAACGAAATTTCTGACTTTGTCATTGTCAACAGTATGCCTAGATGGAAGTCCACCAGCATATCATCTGGATAGAGGACATGGTAGTGGAGTTAGCAGCTGGATTATCTACTTGGATGTTCGTTACTAAATTAATATTCTTCTTAGATTTAATTTTCATAAATTTAACATAACAAATTAAGTCACCAAATTTAACTTGGGAAAAATTATTTCATATTTATAGGGAGGTGGCTGGTGCGACAGTATCCCAGATTGCCTTGATCGTTCAACTAAGGCCTTAGGTTCTACCAAGCAGATGAAACAACAAGGTTTTTTCGCTGCATTACTTCATAATAGTTCCAAACAAAATCCACGTGATTTCATTTCATACGTACTATATATTATCTTGCTATACGTTCTTTTTTCTTAACTTTTTAACTCACTTGAGATCTATCTTCTAACTGAAACAATGTTGGAATTGGTAGAGTTTTACAATTGGAATAGAGTGAGGGTGAAGTATTGTGACGGTTCATCTTTCACTGGTGATGTTGAACAAGTTGACCCCGTAAGAATTATTACTAGTAAATACGGAGTACATATGTTTCTCATATATATTGATAATTAATACTATGATCACTTGTGATTAATTTGGTCAAAAATCTACATTAGGAGAACAAGCTGTTTTTTAGAGGGGCAAGAATATTTAAGGCTATTATGAAAGATCTATGGAGCAAAGGAATGAATAATGCTGAAAATGTAAGAATTCACTCTTTCATATTCATAAATACACATACACTACCTTATAATTCTACTGGGCAAAATCCTGAATAATGTAATGCCAGGCAATTCTATGTGGAACTTCAGCAGGAGGGTTGGCAACAATTTTGAACTGTGACAATTTCAAATCCCTCCTGCCAGAGAATGTCAAAGTAAAGTGTGTTGCAGATGCGGGCTTCTTCATCAATGGGTCAGCTCTTTTTTTTGCGTAATTATATACCTTCTGTTAACTAACTTAATTATTAGTGTAAAATTCATCTTGCCATGTTTCATGATTTATGCAGGAAGACAATCTCTGGTACTTCAGATATTCAAGAGATGTATCGAAAAATTGTTAACCTACATGTGAGTCTCATAGATCTTTTTTTTTTTTTGTTTAGTAATTTGTATATGCAAGTGCTTTGCTATAATATCTTTTTTTCCCTCTAAATCTCTCTCTCTCTCTCGTTCTCAGGGATCAGCTAAGAATTTGCCGTCAGCTTGTACTTCTGTGATGGAACCAAGTCTAGTAAGAGTTTAAGCTTTTGGATACACAAATAATTTCTTTAATTATATGTTATAACACTAGTTTTCCTCAATGATATATGATGCAGTGTTTTTTTCCTGAGAATGTTGTTCCATACATTCAGACTCCACTCTTCATAATCAATTCAATCTATGATACATGGCAGGTCGGAAGACAAATGCTAATTTCTCTTTGGTTTTTTTTATAATTCTGTTCCTTTCTTTCTATAGCTTCTATAAATTGAAAGAAATCATTTTGTATCCAACACTCTAATTTCAGATTAAAAACATTTTGATTCCTGAAAAACTCGATCCTCAACATACCTGGAAGGATTGCAAGAGTAACATAAGTGGCTGCACATTTAGCCAGCGTATAATTATTCAAGGTAATTAGCATTTTCTCCCGTGATAAACTAATTAATGAATACCTTTCAATTACACATGTATAATGACTCTTCTTCTCCTAATTTAATTCTTGTAATTTTTTTTAAACATAGCATTTGGTGTGGAGTTTTTGAAGAAATTCGAGGGACTACCCCCTTGTTTTACGAGAGGTTACTTCCTCACATCTTGCTATTCTCATGGTGGAATTCTTTCACTAACATATTGGTTTAGTGCTAGCTCTCCAAGGTTACTTAATAAGGTAATGTTTCATTTGCATTATCCATATAAAGTTTGAACATACACTTTCTTAATCTGTTTTTGAATTTTATCATGTGCTTATCGTTCTTAGTTTTGATGATCTGATCATAACAAATTTTAAATTCTTGTAACATTTATCTATATATGCAGACAATCAATGAAGCTGTTGCGGATTGGTACTTTGAGAGAGCAGGTTTTCAATATATAGACATGGACCCTTGTGCTAGAGATTGCAAGCTATAAGTTAGTAAAACTTTTTAACGAATAGGCTTGCAGATGTTGTACCTGCTGCTTATTTCGGGGTACGTAGATGTTCGAGTAGCTAACTATTGGTATAAAGAAAGTTTTGATGTTTTACACGTAAGTTCTATTAGATTTTTAGTAGAAGTTTACAATTGTTCAGTTTAGGCCAACTTTAATTTTAATGTATTTCAATCGAAGAATATGATCTATACAAAGATTTGTTGTTGCTTGTATTGCTATGTCTGATATGATTAGAGATAATAACTGAATCCAACTCAAAATATAACACAATTAACTGTCAAACAAACTTTAACCACCGTTTCAAAATTAATTGAACTCAAATTACTTTCTAAAAACAAAAATATCATTTGAACGATCATATTCTTCGATTAAAACGTTAAAGTCCTTCATTACCACTTCACATATATGTACAACTAGTTAACATGTTCGCGCTTCGCGCGATCATAACAAATATTTTTAAGACAATTTCTTTTATAAATTAGCACATACTAAAAAAGAAGAAATATGATCAATACTTTGGTAAAAGCTTTAAAACATTTATGATAATTGTTTCAATTTATAAGATACTATTTTCGTATTATTTTGTTAGGGTGAAAAGAATATGTTTAATATTTTGAAAAAAAAAATGCTCACTTAATTTTCTGCTTGGATCATCAAATGAAAAGTAAATAATCTTTCCTCCTCGTTTTTTTAAAAGTAGGAATGCTTATTTTATATAAGGAACTACTGAACTTAGACCCTTTTAGATATAATTCTTCAATATGATTTATTTAACAAAAAATATACTTGTTAGGTGCGTAATCTTTCATAAAATTCTTTATTTAAAAAAAAAATTGTGCAAGTTAAAATATGAAAAATAACAAAAAGCATGTTAATAATAATACAAAGGAAAGAACGACTAACTATTTTCTAATAAAATAAAATATAAATATAA